AGATCATTGTTATTCGTAAAAAAAAATTGTCGTTGCTATATTCAATCCAAAAAGAAAAAAATTATTCTTATAATATACAATATGTTTCGTTTCAAAAGACACACAAAAGGGTTGATAAGCCGTAAAAAAAATCAATCAACAACCAATTAATTATCAGCATACTTCAGTAAAAATACATCTTTTTTCTTTGATGCAAATCAGTAAATATTGCCAACCCTTTATTGAGTACTGCAGATATAGGAACACAGATTTGGGATAATTGTCTTGCGCCAGTCTTGAAAGTAGGGAAGGTCATACTCATTTGAACATGAACATTTCAATCTCCTGACATTTCAACTGTCCTTGAAGACCAAGCACTAGCGCCAAAACAGAATTTCATAAGTATCCCATAATCCTCAACTTCTTCCTTCAACCAAATTTGTTGTTGTTGCCTGGAGAGCCAGGTAGATGCTACGAGGCATGCCCTCTTGCGAATATATTGGCTCGTTCTGATACTGTTACAAGTATTGGCACCGAATGTAATGCATTTTGTAATACAATTGGCATTGACTGGAATCCTTTAGGTAAATGCATTGACCACATCGAACTTCAGAAATCTTTAGAGTCATGGCAGAGACGTTTGCGCTGGCAAATTTCGAAATAATGAAGACTATAAAAGAAAATTGTAAAATCAGACTAATCCCTGTATTCTATGCAGAACTTCAGGCAAATTGAAAATCTTTCTCCATAGAATTATTAGCTTTTCACTACATATCTTTGCTTTTATGGCTACAAATGTCAAGCAATCAATCTTTACGTCCTCTCTTAAGATGAAGCTATCGATTTATCAATTTGATGTTTAATGTTATCATTTACCCAGTATAAATACACACGCGTCGTTGTGTAATGCTTATTGAGGGCGTCCTGTAGACTTTTGTCCCTTAGTAATGAGTTCGAGCCTCATAAAGCACCCCCCCATTTTCTTCTTTAAATGCGAAACTAAACTAACATAAAATTAAACACACACACATACACACACACACACACACACACACACACACACATATATATATATATATATATATATATATATATATATATATATATGCACAACATTAGAAAGATTTTAGAGTTCCATGAAAATAAGTGGATACAACGTTTAAAACGCACTATCCAGCCAGGCTAAACCATAAATTTAACAATACAGATAGTATTAATATATAACCCTACAAATCAAAACCTACCAACATTTCTCACCCACACAAAGACAGACATGATTACAGGGGGTGTTGAGGCCACACCCACACAAATAGTACATACACCCACACGAATATACATACTTACACATCATACTCACTCACTCACTCCCTAAGAACCAAATGACACACACTTAACAGAGACACACCCCCTTCCAGGAACCAATAAAACTGTCAAAATGACCTATGGAATTCAGAGCAGCATGAATCCATCCAGCTCTTATCTCAAATAACAACTTAAAGAGACTGTTTGACCAACACAAGAACTGACCAAAATTCATGTTAAAGAAATAAATAAAAAAAACAGATGAAAACAACAGACAAAAGTTAATTTTCTCCATCCAGACATTTATTTCTGTAGTTCACTGCTACCAGCAAGCAGAAAATTATTTTTTTCCTGATGCTGGGCATGTTGGCCGAAACTAGTCGAGGAATCTAAATGAAATAATAATAAAAACGAATGAATATTAATATACAACCCAGTGTGTCTGAAAATTTGAATTTTTTAATATGTGAGGATAGCGTAATCGTTGTCAGCGCTGGGATGTGAAACGGTGAACAGAGTTCGATTTCCGGTTTAGGATTGTGTTTAATTTATTCTGGACGCCCTTGGAATTAATTGAATTAATTTTATCTTAGCCCTACCAGCCTGCCAGAGTTCTGGAATCGAATATTTTCATTGCGATGTCATTATGGTTAGGGAAGAAGTAAATGGAGGAAAATTTATGGCAAGTCTCTCTCCTATTAATCAAGCAAATGATAATGACTATAAAAGACTTACAGCTTGTTATTTTTCGTTTAGTCTTGTGTCTACTAGTACTGAAATTGTAACTAGTTGACAAAGTCAACCATCAAAATCATTATTAATCTGCAAACAAACAGATATTATCGATTTGGAAGAATAGTGCTTTGTATATTCATTACTTAATAACAGGAACCACATTTTCATATTTTCTCATATATATATATACATATATATATATGAAACATTATGAAATGGACAAAGTTCGAGAAATTTTTATGTTTATACGTTCTTTTCATAGATACAAACATTTAAGTAAATGTTTATAATGTTTATAATAAACAGTACCAGCCTGAATATCCGAGAAATTTTCATAGAAAATATGCATCCTCTGTATCCTATACGGAACCGTCATATAGCCTGGCGTGCCTTTACCGATTGAGCCACAGAGGAGCGTTCGGTTAGCAAGGTCGATTTTACTGTATTTAAACACAATTCTACATGATTTTCTCTCATACATTCATAATATGTGACGTCATTTGTTTACATTTGAATATGCATTGAGCAGATATTAGTACCCTGTATATTCATCTTGGGTGTTAGCATAAGATTGGGAAAATGTTGAACACCACACCGAGGTACATTCTTTCACATTTGAGCCTGTTAATACAAGTCAATAAAAACAAGTAGCCCAATCATCTCATGCATAATTAGTAAAGTACTGGTTTGACAATCCTTCGTTAACTATTTTGAAAGGCATGTCAGTATCATGGCCTTTGAATGGGCAGGCATTATTATGCTGGGAAAGCACACCGATTTCATTTGTTAGAAAATCAGTCGAATCAGATGAATTAGGTTTGGTTTGTGCATGATGCAATTTTAGTTTCCATCCCCAAACACTAAGATTTTTACTTAGTTGTCCTAGTATCCTTAAAGTGTTTTCTCATAGTGGACTAAAGGCAGACATTGAACGTAGTGATAATTTGATTCATTGATTGATTCGATTTTTATGGCTTATAAATACTTTGAAGGTTATTTAAAGCCAGAAAATAGTTTTAATTGTAAATTTTTTTAGATGATAATGATTTAGTGATACAAGTCTAACTAATTAATCCTTGGCTGTGCGTAGAAAGCTAGATATATACCTTTGCAAAAGGATATTTTCGCGTTGAATACAACAAACATGATTAGAATTGGACCTCCGCTCTCTGATTAACAATTTCTACGCCATTATCCATTATACCACCCCACATCCAAGCTTATGGCACCTAATATTTCCAAGCGGTCACATCACCATGGACAGTTTCTACAAACGCCTTGTTCTCATAAAGAGGAAAACAGTAAGAATACTAGAAAACTGACTAAAATTTTCCTTGATTTTCATTTTCAATGAAAAACATGTATAAAACGAAGATTGCTCCGCCTATATAAATAAACATATATTTTTGCGTGTGTGTGTGTGTATGTGCCTGTCTGTGAAAGTTCTCAAAACATATCTGCAGAACAGACTAATCAGCTAAAAATAGACAATAGACAATAGGAAAACAGTATAGTTTTTGCCCACTAGTTTCGTCATCCGACTTTATCAAGGTAATTGATGATAACCAAAAAGCGAAATGTTGTATAGTTACTGGAACGTCCAAAAAAGACTTTCGAATGAGCGGCTTTTAAAATTTTCGAATTTCGAGTCACTATACAACATTTCTTGGCTTTTTATTTATCATCACTTGCATTAATAAAGTCGCGTGATGAAAAGTCAACAAAAGCTAAGGATTGTTTTCCCACTGTCACTCACACACACACACACACACACATACATACATCACGGGCTGCGACATCACGACCTCCGATGCGATTTCCTTCCGCGTCTAATTATCAGAGTTTGTCGCTGCTTTGAAATTATTATTTTGTCCGCGTATTTTTTAATATATTGAAATGTAATTGTCATCTTTGATAATGGATTATGCAAGCAGGACTAGCTTAGATAGAATTAAAACATATATCAATATGGTGATTTCCTTTCGTCTTCCAATGATAATGTTATTAAGCTTATCAGACAATATGAAAGGAACTTTGAACAGTGAAAATGATATGTAATTGTAAACTATAAAACAGAAACGCACCGGCAGAAAATAACGAAGTTTGAATGATGGAAACATTTTTTTCTTTCTTTATGTCATTTCCTTAATTGGAATGATGTGCACGGATTAGACAGAACTTGTGTATATTATTTAATGAAATATGCATCAATGAAAAATTGCTGCCTAAATACGCACAATAAACACACATATACATATATATATATATATATATATATATATATATATATATATAAAAATTTATATATATATATTCTGTTTATGTTATTTTATAGATATAATTTATTTAAGTAAATGCTCTGTTTTTAATTAAATAATGTTAGTTACATTTACCGGCCTGAATGTTCGAGAAATTTCATAGAAAATAGGGCACATCGACAGGAATCAAACCTGTAACCGTTATAGGAACTTTCAGATCATATAGCCTGGACGTGCTATTACTATTCAGTCAGAGACGCGTCTGGAAAAGTCCGAATTATTATGTATTTGTGTATGCATGCTTATGTAACCAAAACATACGCTGTTGTTACGAGGCACTAGTTGTTATTCTTATTCTTCTTACTTTTATTATATTTTGGTTCATCAATTTTATTGTATACAACTATTTGAGATTTTTTACTTCCTGATATCTTTGATTTTGAACAAAAGATAAAAATCATATTTCGACTGCTGGCTTTTTAGGTCAAGCGCTACATTCTTCTTATTCTTAAGTTAATTAACATCTTTAATATTTTGAGAACAAATAGATTTGTTTTTTACCTGTTAATTAATCCATTAGCTTTTTAATTAATTATCTTGCTTTTTTTTTCTATTTCGTTTCGAAAATGTTAGTTTTCCTTGACAAGTTTCATTGAATCTAGTCAGTAAAAAATCTGGTTAGGTAAGAAAGTAAAGTTTTCGGAAAAGACGGAAAATAACTTGAACAAGTTTAATATTGTTAGGTGTGACAGTGAAATGATATGTATTGTAAACTATAAAACAGAAAACGCACCGGCAGAAAATAACGAAGTTTGAATGATGGAAACATTTTTCTTTCTTTATGTCATTTCCTTAATTGGAATATGTGCACGGATTGTGACAGAGAAGAGAAGGATAAAATGAGAAAAAAAGACTTAAGAAAGAAAAGAACTGATAATCAAAAGATACAAAATGTGTTAAAAAAAGAAATGGACGAAGTAGAAAGAAAGAAAAGAAAGAAAAGAGGCATGAAAGAAGAAAAGAAGGACGATGTAAGAAAGAAAAGAAAGAAATAAAGAAAGAAAGAAAGAAAGGGCATGAAAGAAAAAAAGAAGGGACGATGAAAGAAAGAAAGAAAGAAAAAGAAAGAAAGAAAAGAAAGAAAGGGGGCATGAAAGAAGAAAAGAAGGGACGATGTAAGAAAAAGAAAGAAAAGAAAGGGCATGAAAGAAGAAAAGAAGGGACGATGTAAGAAAAGAAAGAAAGGGCATGAAAGAAAAAAAAGAAAAGGACGATGTAAGAAAGAAAGAAAGAAAGAAAAGAAAGAAAGAAAGAAAGGGGCATGAAAGAAGAAAAAGAAGGACGATGTAAGAAAGAAAGAAAAGAAAGAAAGAGGGAATGAAGAAGAAAAGAAAGGGACGATGTAAGAAAGAAAAAAAAAGAAAAGAAAAAAGAGGCATGAAAAAAGAAGAAAAAAAGAAGGACGATGTAAAGAAAGAAAGGAAAGAAAGAAAGAAAAGGAATGAAAGAAGAAAGAAGGGACGATGTATAAAAGAAAGAAAAGAAAAGAAAAGGGGCATGAAAAGAAGAAAAAGAAGGACGATGTAAGAAAAGAAAGAAAGAAAAAAGAAAGGGGCATGAAAGAAGAAAAGAAGGGACGATGTGAAAGAAAGAAAGAAAAGAAAGAGGCATGAAAGAAGAAAAGAAGGACGATGTAGGAAGAAAGAAAAGAAAAGAAAGAAAGAAAGAAAGAAGGGGCATGAAAAGAAGAAAAGAAGGGACGATGTAAGAAAGAAAGAAAGAAAGAAAGAAAAAGAAAGAAAGAAAGAAAGAAAGAAAAGAAAAGAAGGACGAAAAGAAAGAAAGAAAGAAAGAAAGAAAGAAAAGAAAAGAGGTATGAAAAAGAAGGAAGGGAAAAGAAAGAAAGAAAAAAGAAGAAAAGAAAGAAAGAAAAGAACGAAAAGAAAAAAAGAAAAGGCATGAAAGAAAAAAAGAAGGACGATGTAAGAAAGAAAGAAAGAAAAAAGAAAGAAAAGAAAAGGGGCATGAAAAGAAGAAAAAGAAGGGACGATGCTGAAAGAAAGAAAGAAAGAAAGAAAGGGCATGAAAAGAAAAAGAAGGGACAATGTAAGAAAGAAAGAAAGAAAGAAAAAGAAAGAGGCATGAAAGAAGAAAAGAAGGGACAATGAAAGAAAAGAAAAGAAAGAAAGAAAAGAAAGAAAAAAGAGGCATGAAAGAAGAAAAGAAGGGACGATGTGAAAAAAAGAAAGAAAGAAAGAAAGGGGCATGAAAGAAGAAAAGAAGGACGATGTGAAAGAAAGAAAGAAAGAAAGGGCATGAAAGAAGAAAAGAAGGGACGATGTAAGAAAGAAAGAAAAGAAAAGGCATGAAAGAAGAAAAAGAAAGGACGATGTAAAGAAAGAGAAAGAAAAGGAAAGAAAGAAAGAGGCATGAAAAGAAGAAAAGAAGGGACGATGTAAGAAAAGAAAGAAAAGAAAGAAAGAGGAATGAAAGAAAGAAAAAGAAGGACGATGAAAAAAAAAAAAAGAAAGAGGCATGAAAAGAAAAGAAAAGAAAGGAAAATAAGAAAGAAAAAAAAAAGAAAGAGGAAATGAAAGAAAAAAGAAGGGACGATGTAAGAAAGAAGGGACCATGAAAGAAAGAAAGAAAGAAAGGGGCATGAAAGAAAAAAGAAGGGACGATGTAAGAAGAAAGAAAGAAAGAAAAGAAGGAACATGAAAGAAGAAAGAAGGTATATATATATATATATATATATATATATATATTTTTTATATAACACATAAAAATTTATATTCAGTCACCCAATTCCAATATATTTTTTATTTTTTTATTTATATAAATTTTATCCCCATTTTATGGTTTTTATATTTTTTTATTTTTTATTTTTATAATTATTTTTAATTTTGAATTTTAGATTATAATGGTCGTTTACATTTGGGATTAAAGGTAAATATATGTCATTTATACATCAACCTATAGAAACCAGTGGCCTTTTATATTTGATTCATACTGTGGCTGTCTCCTTTTGCTGACAAACATACATTCAGTTTCTTACATAATAGTCACTTTTAGTCCTTTTTTTTTTGTTTTTTGTATTTTTGTGTTTTTTGGTGTTTTTTTTTTGTTTTTTTTTTACTTCTTTGACTTAGGGTCTTTCAGTTTTTGTTAGCGTACATACGGACAATAATGGGTATGTCCCCATTCAAATAAATACAGCATTAAATAC